ACCAGCCACAATGGCTTGGACTTGCACAAGCCGTCTTCAATACCCAGGCAGCTCGTTGGGATACGGAGCATTGTAATGGCGGCTTGAGATGGCAAATCTTCCAGGTTAGTGATTCAATTATGCCCAATTTCGGACTTTCGCCATCATCACCTGTCACATCTTCGTGGCGTCACCCGAGTGCCTAGCGTCAAATGTTTATCATCAGTCGAAATTGATATTCATGGGCTAACAACCGATTGCAGTGGAATAGGGGTTACGACTACAAGAATTCAATTTCTCAGGCTTGTTTCTTTGCTCTAGGTGCACGTCTCGCACTCTTCACTGGCAATAGCAGTTATGCCGACTGGGCAGATAGAACATGGGACTGGATGGAAGCAGTCGAGTTTATTGACCCTAAGAGCTGGTACGTTTATGATGGTGCTCATATCGGCAACAACTGCACAAAAATCGTACCCTATCAATTCTCTTACAACGCAGGCGGTATGATTCTCGGCGCCGCTGCCATGTACAACTTTACCGAAAGCCAGGTCTGGAAGGATCGCCTCGACAATCTTCTCGTGGGCGCCAAAGTCTTTTTCTCAGGGCCTGAAAAGAACATCATGACAGAGGTCGCTTGTGAACCCGTCAAACTTTGCAACCTCGACCAGAAGTCTTTCAAGGCATATTTGAGCCGCTGGCTTGCTGTCACTACGCAATGGGCTCCCCATACTCGCGATACTATCATGCCACTTTTGCGTGCTTCCGCTGTTGCAGCCACGGACAAGTGCACGGGAGGTGATAACAATCGAATGTGTAGTCTCTACTGGACTAAGGACAAGTTCGAGGGTGAAGTCACCATTGGTCAACAAATGGCTGCATTAGAAGTTACTCTTGCCTGCATGATCCAGGATCGGCCGGCCCCGTTAACGAAGGACACTGGAGGAACAAGCAAAGCTAATCCTGGTGGTGGTGCCGAAGATGTTGGACGAACTACCCCTGATTTGGATTACAAACCTTTGCCTGCCGGTGATAAGGCTGGTGCCGCCATTATTACCATTTTGATTCTCGCCGGCCTGCTTGCTGGTATGTTCTGGATATTCTTTGACGAAACATCCGACAGTGGTCCCGTTGATCAGTTCCGGAGTTTTGGATCATCAGCCGCTGCTGCCGTTGCCGCTTTGGCTGCTGGTGGGGGCGCAGCCGCGGTATTTGGACATAAGAAGGACATCAACGAAAAGAATGCTGCGGTATTTGCGACATCAAGCAATGGCAGCTCCCAAGAAAACACCAACAGCCATGTTGCAGACGATGTGCCTGCCGGCGCTACCAATCAGAGTCAGGGACAACATCGTCGGGTGTCTAGCATGCCTTTGGGATGGCCACAAAACCCAGCAATGAGAGGAAGCGCTCTATATGACTCTGACGGGATTTATCCAGCGTCAGCCTCGGCGCGACAATCTCGAGGGGACTGGGCAGTAGGAGGTATTGGCGAATCAAGCAGTGCTGCAGGAAGTTCAGCTGGTGGCAATAGAAGCTACACACAACAGGAGAACGCGACAGGCGACACCACCCCAGGCACAGAGGAACCTGGCCTACCACACGATAGGAACAGTAAGAGTGCCACCCACACCGCTGAAGTGGGCGTGAGTCAACGTGAAGCTCCAGGGGCTACCGGGGTAGCACAGTGATCATTTCCTGTGCTGGGTAATCAGCATTTCTTAATGAAAGGGGTTGGTATTTACGACTTTCTTGGCGATACACGCTCAACTAGGGTTTTCACGGACGCTTGTGGCATTTTGGGGGCGTTTCGACGGTGACGGCGCATATTGGTTGACAGCCTGTAGGCAGGCTTTTGAGTATTATCTATATAACTTGGACCGGAGTGCCACAAGAAAGAAGGCCTCCTAGCTACAACGGCAGAGTCGAGGTGTCACACACAATTAAATACAAACTCACAGGCGTCTGTCCTTTCCAACAAGACACTATATATGGCTCAGAGTAAGAGCAGTGCACACTTATTTCACGGAGATATTTGACTGGTGCTATAATTTGTCGTATTCGCTATCGTCATTTCAACAATTATTCAATATCATCGACAAACACATTCTCACAGAGTCAATCTACTATGCCAGCAAATCAGTCGCTAATAGATTTTCAGGTGCTCGTGCCATTCAAGCTGCCTTGTAGTATGTTTCACGAATCGCCTGTTTCTCCCGTTCAAGGAACTCATCGAATGTGCTCAGCGGGATTCCCCATGCTTCAACTTCTTCCTTGGTCGCAAGCTTGGCCATGTCTCTCATGGCAAGTTGACCAGCTATGAAAGGGTTGGTGGCTTTCTGATCCATGATCTCTTCATCAGAAAGGTACTCTCCCTTAAGATCCCTTCCCACGGCTTTGGAGAGCTTCTGTAAGATGGTTTCCACTTCAATCCACTCATCAGCATACGTGATCTCCTTTCCATGAAACTTGGTTGGGTTCAGAAATGCTTCGCCACCAAACTTGCCGATAGTGACTGTATCAGTCAAGGGGAGAGCAGTATTAGGGGTCAAAGCAGTTGCGAAGACTCCTTTGTCAACGAGGTCGGGATACATTCTGACAAAGGGTTCGACATAGTTGGCCATGAAAGCTCCCGGGCGCAAGATTGTCCAGTACTCGAAGCCTGCATCGCGAGTCTGGTTTTCAATTGCATGCTTATTGCGCATGATTATATCGGTGAAACTTCCTGGCTCCATGGCAGTCAATTGATCGGGATTGCCAGCGCTGAAGCCGCTTGAGAAGATGGCATGCTTGACGCCAGCTTCTTTGCCACTATTCAAGACGTTGGTTGCCCAACGCCTCTCAGCAGTGAGGTCTGTGAAGTCGGGCATAAGGACAAGAAAGAGTCCCGTACAGTCCTTAATGGCCTCTTTGAGCGCTTTTTTGTTGTCATAGTCTCCTGGAGTAACCTTGACCCCAATAGTCTCAAGGGCTTTGGCCTTTTCAGAGTCAGGATCGCGGGCAAGGGCGTGGACAGCGATGTCCTTGGATCGCAGGTAGCGAGCGACAGAGCCCCCCTGGCAGCCTGTTGCACCTGAGACGAAGATTTGAGGGGTAGACATTTCCAAGTTGTTGAATAATATGTATGTGATGTTCAGGGTGCAAGAGTATAGCTAGGTGGCGTACAGATGATATGTAAGTCCAACTATTTAATCTCTTTGAAGTACCAAAAACCCTCATTTTATAGAAGCTACCCGCGGACTGGCTTGCGGAGAACTCTTCTATCCCGTAGAGTACTTCATCCCGTCGCCGGAGATCCGCTATTCTCACGGCAGATCCCCCGGAGCCGGAACCTCTTGCACCGGGCGGAGTTCCGCCCGTTCCCACTTTTCCCGATCCTTTCCACTGCGCTAGATGCTTAATTGCCGTCAGACTTTCAGCTTCCAGCATCACAATCATCCGTATTACTAATTTCACTTCCGCGCATTGGTGAATCACTGCGGCTTTTCTTTCTAATATGTCTCTTACCGCTCGAGAACGCCGCAACCCTCCAAGTCGGCGGAAGTCCTGTACTGCTTGCACCAAAGCTAAGCGGCGTTGCGACTTTGCTCTACCCGCATGTCTCCGATGCTCTCAAAGACAGATATCTTGCCAGTATCCCACAAGGACGATACGGGGACAGTTGGCCCCTCAGTCTGAATCGCCAGAGACAGTATCACCTTGTCTATTAAGTAATGAATCGTCCCCTGAAGTTTCTGGCAGCTTTCCCATTAGCGGGTCAATCATTGAAGATTTCAATGCCATCATCTCAAGAATTGATGCAAGCTCCAATGGCCTGGATACGTTTGATCTCCCACTAGAAGATGTGGCACTAGAACTTGCTCAACAGCCTTCGACATTAACTGGCCCGTCGACACAGGATTTTGGGAATGTCTCAGCACATATCTTGAATCGCCTTCAGTGGGCTGTTGATGAGATCAAAGAAGCTCCAAAGAAGATGGTTCTTGAGAATCAAACACCGTGGTGTCATCCACTCCTCTATAAAGATGCCATGCCTCGGTCTATGCAGGGTGAAGATCAGAGCTCAACTGTCGTCTGCGCTCACTAACATCGACGCAGATGCCCACTCCTCTTGTGCGTTATACATGGCCAAGAACCGTGTCAATTCGCCCATCATATTTCGTAGCATAGAATCTCGCGTCAACGACCTACTCTCAGCGCCGCCACCAATAACGCCCCTGGACTGTCTGGCTCATACCCAGGCTCTCATCCTCTACCAGATAATAAGGCTCTACGACGGCGACATAGGTGCTCGTACATCAGCAGAACGAATCATTCCAGCCATAGAAGCTTCCGCAATGTCATTGTTCTCCTATGCCCAGTTTGACATCGAGGGCACACCTGGCACGCTTCCGCTATACCCTATAGCCCCGACAAAAGCCTTCTGGCAAGATTGGATTCTCCAGGAGTCCCTACGCCGGACTCTCTTATTCTCATTCTATCTTGTACAGACATATCGTATCATGTCCGGCTGCAAAATGCTCCAATGTGATGGAAGGCTTGGTTTATGCCACTCATGGACACTGTCCGCATATTTATGGAATGCTATGACTCCATTGGGATTTGCTGAGGCATGGAGAGATAAGAACCACTATGTGGTGACGAATGCCATCTTTAATGGTGTTCTTGCTGAGGCAAAGGCGGATGATATAGATGTCTTTGGGAGGATTATGATTTCAAGTTTATTGGGACGAGATGAGGCTGAGGGTTGGTTTGCAAGCAAAGGTGGGAAATTGTAGAAGGTCAATCAAGATTCAGCGAGGCCCAGGCGCTGCATAATAATAAACACAAGGCAAGGCAAGTGTTGAGAAATGGTCTTATGGATACGACTTTAAACCCACAGTTTAGTTTTATATCTCTTCACCGTGGGCAATATCGCATCATGATAACGAAATGTTCCTCACCCTCTTCGATAGTGCACTAGTTCTAGATTCGCCACCCGAAGTCTAGATGAAATGCATCATCATCAATATCGATAAGCAACAGCGGGTTTAGCTCAGTTGGGAGAGCGTCAGACTGAAGTCAAACTTCGGGATTCGAAATCTGAAGGTCGTGTGTTCGATCCACACAAACCGCAAACCTTTTGTTTTGCCTATCCTGGGTCCATCACAGGCGGAGCTATTGTTTTTAGTGTTTGGACTACCGTAAGATGCAGCTGGATGGAGCCGCAAGAATTCAGGGACGAAACTTGCCAACAAGGTGTCTGTCTAGTCTGTGACGCTATCTATATGTGGCTAAGTATCCCTTTTGCCCTGTATAAGAATGAATTGCAAATGTTTCGTGTTATCAATATGTTCTAAGGGTCATCAATGATTGAAGCTTGGAAGGGCCGAGCAGTCAGCTATTTATCTGATTCAAAGTTCAAAGGTTGAAGCAAGCCTGCAGAACCCACCAATAAAAACATCACATCAACATGATCGCACCATTGACATCGATTGTGGGTCGAAAACGGAGCCGGTGGAAGTTACCCCCGGTCTCATTCGCGGCATTGAACATGGCTTATCCCAAGGGTCTATCCATGTCTTACATCCCCTTAAATAGAAATTCCCTAATAAATGCGACAGCGGCGACGTAGCAGATGCGAGGACATTTCATGTTCTGAGAGACATTTCGACGTCAAGTCATCATGTCCTTCCACAACTTAAATACGAACCCTTCTAGGGAGGATCGCGACAATGCCTCGTTCCTGTCTCCTATCGCATACGACGACGATGCTTCGTCTCTTCACTCCCGCAGCGATCAAGATACCGATACCGACGATGACGAACTTATCTCGCGCGCGAGAAATAGTAGAGAATTGCGTGCTCATGATCGCATCGTCTTGATGGAAGAGGAAGATATTGATCGACTTGTTACCGATTCGCGACAGAAGAAAGAACGGGAGCGCCGTGGCTCAGGACTCGTGGTACCTAATATAGGCAAAATGTTTGGTCGTCGAGGAAGCAGTTCAGGAAATCGTTCGATCAACAGTTCCGCAGAAAATCTTGTGATTGAGAAGCGAAAGACTCGACGCCAACGGAGACAGAAGAAGCGAGAGAAACTTGTGGAGCATGCTCAACATGGAGAGGACGGAGAGTTGATGTATGAGATGGAAGAAGGAGGTATGAAGGAAGGGAGCTCAACTGGCGAGAGTAGCGAGAGGGACGACAGTGACGAATTGGATCGACATCATCTAAATATGATTGCCGAAGCAAAGGCCCAGCGTCGTCGCAGCTGGCGCTGGTGGGTCTTCATTCACTCCCTGATCGCCATAGGCTTCGCGATCTTGATCCTCTTAGCCTGGAAGCTATCCAAGAATCGCAGGAACAGATTCACCAAGGCGAACCAGACCCTGGTCAGCAATGGAACCGCCCTCTTTGCGCCCACGTCCCTCATCATCAGTCTGGATGGTTTCCGCGCCGACTTCCTCCAACGTGGATTGACGCCTACCTTGAACTCGTTCGTTGCTGAAGGAGTGTCGCCGAAATGGATGCATCCTTCTTTTCCATCAGTCACCTTTCCGAACCATTACACTCTCGCGACAGGCTTATATCCTGAAAGCCATGGCATCGTCAGCAATACCTTCTGGGATCCTGATATGCAATCGCAATTCTACTACACCCATCCTGGCCAGAGTCTTGACCCAAAGTGGTGGGGAGGAGAGCCTTTCTGGGTTACAGCAGAGAAGCAAGGCGTTCGGAGTGCTGTTCATATGTGGCCAGGAAGCGAAGCACATGTCCTTCACACTGAACCAAGCTTGATGGATAAGTTCAATGGCAAAGAAACACTTGAGAATAAGGTCGCCAGAATTATGGAGTTTCTTGATATGCCCGGCTTTGAGGACAAGACAGTGGACACCGGCAACATGCGACCACAATTGATTGCCGCTTACGTTCCTCATGTCGACAGTGATGGTCACAAATTCGGTCCCAACTCCACCGAGATCCGCCAAACTATCAAGAACGTGGACGGCATGCTGGGACAGGTCTTCCACGGACTTGAGCAACGCAACTTGACCGACATTGTCAACGTGATTGTCGTCTCCGATCATGGTATGGCAACCACAGATATCTCAAGGCTAATCCAGCTCGAAGACCTTATCGATACGGACAAGATTGAGCATATCGATGGCTGGCCACTCTACGGTCTTCGTCCCAAGAATCCTGACGACCTGAAAGGACTCTATGATGAGCTCAAGGAGAAGTCAAAGTCTAACCCCAACTTTGAAGTCTATCTTCGTGATGTCGACATGCCCGAGCGATATCACTTCTCCAAGCATCACCGCATCGCCCCGCTGTGGGTTGTTCCCGAAACAGGATGGGCCATTGTCACCAAAGACGAGTTCGATGTAGAAGAAGGAAAGAAGAAGAATCTCGTATATCATCCGCGAGGTCTTCATGGTTATGACCATGAGCATCCGCTTATGAGGGCCATTTTCATCGCCCGTGGCCCTGCGTTTCCCCACCCAGCGAACAGTCAGATCGAAGTTTTCCGTAAGTTGATTTCTGGCGAGTATCCTTTTTCTTCTCACTTGCTGATGTTGGATGACTAGAAAACATTGAGGTGTACAACATGTTGTGCGACTCTGTTGGTTTGACGCCCAGCCCCAACAACGGAACTATACGGCTTCCTCTGAAGCCTATCGGCGTGCACAAGCCCGAAGATACACCCGAGGAACCTGCCGATCCTCCGTCCGCCCCCAAGAAGCCGACTCGCCCAACTTTGCCGGAGAACCCAAGTCATCCCGAGAGGCCGACTGTGCCTCAAAAGCCTACCCAGCCTGAACGACCCACGGTCCCAGTTGCCCCGACACAGTCCGCCAAGGCGACAGTTTCGCTCAAGAAACCCGCGAAACCATCGAAGTCGGCTGTTCCCTCTGAGGACATCGGAGGTAAGGATGAGGATAGCGACAGCGACAGTGATAGTGGCGACGATAACGATGATAAAGACGAAGGAATTTGGGATTGGTTCACTCACAAAGTGGAGAAAGTCTGGCATAAAATCACTGGAGATGATTGAATTGTGAATACCTAGGTAGGGTGGAAATGTTGTACGTATTTCTTTGTATTTTGCGGCGTTCAAAGGGACCATGATGGGACACAAGGCGTTTGACATTGCGACCGGCATGATGAGGCTTGTGATTCGTCCAAGCAAAGTTGGTATAAATCCGATATCCTTTCCTCTTTCTCCTTTCAACCTTCCCTGTTTGAAAATGAGGCGGAATGCTGTGCTCACACTGGTGCTGCACTTTGTTTGTGCGACCTTTGTGCTCTTTGCAAGAGTGCCACGTATAAGGACATTTTATTAAGAGGCGGTGTACACTGCAGGTAGGTGTTCATTCACATAGCCTATTCCCTTGAAAATATACTTTTGCCTGCATCAAAGAGGTGGTGGGATTTGAGACATGGCCAAAGAATATTTGTTGCGGCGTGTGCACTGAAAAACTCCGCCTCAGCTTCCTGCATACCTAGGTAGGTACCTTACCCTAGGTTATAGTTAGAATAACTTACGGTCATACCTTAACTCAAGAACTGCCTCATGTGAGGTTCCATAGAGAATTGGACTTACCTTATGTTACAATGCTCTATAGAGATCTCTATCTGAAAATGGCTGCAGTAGGCTACTCAGCTTAGGCGGCGCTAAGGTAGGCTCTGATAATGATTAATGATTTCATGCAAGGGATCCATTTCAAGGTGGGGTCCTGCCTGCCATGATTGCCCCTCCCCCACTACAATACAATGGCTGTTGCTGCCTGCATTAGCTCCCCTCAGGCCCTCCACTTTCAACTCCAGTGAATCGCTTAACGCGTGACGCGGCGAGCTCCTTCCCATACTCCCGGTATAATCGTCCCTGAGCTCCACCTCAAAATTAAATGTGAACCTTACAGTATCAACATCTGACTTCAGCCGCTTGCAACACTCATTTGTGCGCGTACGAAGAACCACGTTCCTTAACACTACTCATCTGCGATAACTGGTACTGCGAGATCGTGATAGGGATCCTGATAGGCCGGTCACCACTACCCTGCCGCCTCAAGCATCCGGAGGTCATTGCTGCGTACCCTTGGAACATTCATGGGCGGCCCCTTGCCTCCGGTGGCCTGTCGCTGTCGCTGACCGAGAGGGTCTTGAATGCTGTCGTTGCGCCTGTGCGCTGTCTCATTCGCCTTTCTCAAGGCTGCAGCACAAGATGGCTGACACAACCTCCATGAGTGTCGAGGAGATCCAGGAGGAGCTGACAGTGCAAAAGGTTGTCTTAGAGTCCCTTTCTGAGGCAACGTATGATGGGGCTGAGGATATGAGACAAGAGGCTCACTCGGAGATCGTTCGCCTCAAGAAGCTTCTTCAAAGCTTGAAATTGAAGAAGGGGCCTGGTACCACTAGTATGTTCCACCCCTCAGCATAACCCTAGCGGCATTGTTTCTCGTTGTCTAATATCACTTGCAGCTGGTGAATCTTATCACCGCGTCCCCGAAGATCGTGTCCTTGGATCATCAACTCTAGGTACGAGTTTCTTGAAAATTACTCTATGCGCATTTCATATGTGATTTCTTCTTTGGTGCCCATGTCATATCTTTAGCACTCAAGTTCTTCTGACTGGATCTTCCAACTTCATGTGTTACTCGCCAATCCCTGATTTTATCACTCAATCGGCCTACAACCAAGTGCATCAAGTTGACCTTTTTCCAGAGGATGGTGAGCCTGAAGCATCAAAAGCCATGCAATCTCCATCACGACACGGTGTCTGGCGTTTACCTGACCGAAAGAGGGGTGCCGACTCAGCTCGCCTCTCCTTCCATGACAATCATGCGAAGACACGCCGCATTTCCCCTGAAGAGAATACCTTCTCAACTACCTTGACCTACGGCAATGCTGACGACCACGTTGACTTCATAGACCTTACTGGGTAAGTTGCTTGGCAGTATTATTGTCTCCTTCACTGCTGACGGACGAACACCAGGGACGATGATGACATAGGGTCCGACTTCATCGCTGAACAAATTAAGGCCGAGGAGAGACAAAAGCAGGAATGGGCAGACCAACAGCTCGCGAGACAACTTTCGAGTCAAGGCCCTTCCAATCAACTTCCAGGCTCACA